GGTGAAGCTGGTTTTGATAGGCTTTTTTGTGCTGATTAAGAATGCTTAAAGCCATGTTTTCACTATGTCAAATTCAATGACATTTCTCATTTGTCGTCAAATAAATGAAAACACATTGTCAAATGGGATCAAAAACGGTATTTCGACTGATTTAGATCAGGATAGGTCTTCAGTCGTGTACATGCGCTGCTGAACCAACTATATGTCCGTTTATGGCTCATAATATTATCAGCGAAGGTACGGATGAAAGAGATAAACTTGTGTCAAAATATGTCGACAAATTTTGACGTCAAAATATGACATAGTGAAAACCAGCCTTAAGTATAAAGTTTCCATCAGCTCCAGATTTTGAGAAGAATGTGGTGAATATGTCAAAAAATCGCTTTTTTGCAATATTTGAGAAGCTCTAGCAATGAAAAAATAGGTAATAGAACTTTCGTCTTAGCCTTAAATAATGGCCTGGACTTCTGAATTCAATCCCTGAAAATACCATTCCTGCACCTTGACCCTAAGGTTACCTATACTCATTTATGGAACAGCTAACACTGATTTTTACACCATTTTGACAAAATAGTAAATGAGTATAGGTGACCATTAGGGCAAGGTGCAGGAATAGTACTTTCAGGAATGGTAGTACGTAGTTCTAGCTTTAATTTACGTCTACATGGAAGGTTCTATCACCTTTTTCTTAATTGCGGTAGAAACTCAAACTTCCCAAAATCAGTTATTCCTGTTCAACAAATGACTATAAGTGACCATCAAGCAAAGGTTCGGGAACTTGCCAGGATAGTATTCGAGATTTTTAGCTTTAATCAAAGCCTAAGTGAAGGTTCTACCACCCTTTGTTTTTTTGCTACAGCTTCTCAAATATGGAAAAAAACGCGAGGTTTTGACAATTTGACCACGTTTTTCTTAAAATCTGGAGCTGGTGGAAACTTTATGCTTACGGATTCGTAATCAGCACACAAAAATTCGGAAAAAATAGCGTTAACATTTGCTGCATCAACTTTTTTCCCATTTTTGATGGCCTGTGTAATAAGTATTGTTAAATAGCCAATACCCGCATATTTGCGCCGCCTTCAAACGCATTTCGAACTGTAAAACAATGACTCGATTCTAGTTTACGCATATCTATAATACGGGTATCGAATTTCAAGCAAATCGGACCATAAGTAAGACTTTTTCGAATAGATCGGTATTGTAAATCACGCCCTTTTTAGATTAAAAGAAATGCTAAAACTTTATTATGGATAAACGATGATTTAATGTTTCTTGCTTTAATGGTTGTGAAGGAATGAAGGAAAAAGAAATGACATTGAAATGACTTAGCAGAAAGGCTGCTGTATGTGTTACTCTGTATATGTTTTTGTACATGAGTTTGACAGAGTTATTTTGTTAGGGATGTTTGTTGAAACGTAAATGTAATAATCGAATACTTCAACACTCCTCCTCGTTTTAACAAACTAAATCAAAGCTTAAACTAAATTACATCGATTTCTTAAATTAACATGTTTTGAAATTGATAACGGTTTCGTAAATAAATCGGCAATCATCTCCTCCGTTGGGCAATACTTGCACTCAATGAGTTTCTTGTCGATATAATCCCTTACAAAATGCAACTTCGTATCGATGTGTTTAGTCCTGTTCGAAAATTTTTCTTCCTTGATGATTTTTAAATAGCTTTGATTATCTTCGAAGATTACTGTGGGTAGACAAATCTTTTGATTTAAATCGATTAATAATCGCTGAAGCCAAATTGCTTCTGGCATGCATCAGACAATGCTATAAATTCAGCTTCCGTAGATGAAAGTGAGACACACGATTGTTTTCGGCATGTCCAATTAATCAAACCACCATTGTAGAAAAACGCATAGCCGCTGTTTGATTTTCTTGAGTTTCGATCTTCCGCCCAGTTTGCATCTGCATAACCGATCAAGTCACTTTCTTTGGAATCAACTCTGCTCAATTTTAACTTAATGTTTGATGTTTCCTTCAAATATTTGAGAGCTTGCTTCAGCTGATTCCAATCATTCTGTGTTGGATTTGACACCTTTTGAGCCAAAATACTGACACTTGCCGCAATATCTGGTCGTGAATTAACTGATATATACAACAAGCAACCAATTAACTTTTGATAATCTTCGCTATTGATAAGTTGACACGACGAATCTGACGACGATTTGTAATACGAAACGTCCATTGGTGTCTTTGCTCCTTTCGCTGCTTGCAATCGAAATTTCAAGGCAATTTGCCCGATGTAACTTGATTGGCACAGTTCAAAATTTCCTGCATTGTCTTGTGTCCAGGTAATGTCTGAGTTTTCCCAAGTTCTGCATCAAGAACTTCGATGACAAAACTGATTCGGTGATACTGACTTGTTCTTTGGTTTTGCAGGTTACTATGATGTCATCTACGTATATGAGCAAATAACACCAGTCGCCGTTGATAAGCTTTGAATGTAAGCATTGATCATTTTTGCTTTGAGTGAAACCAGCATCTATTAGTACCTTATGTATTGCATCATTCCATGCCTTCGCCGCTTGTTTAAGACCATATATGCTTTTCTTGAGAAGACAAACTTGATTCGGTTCACCGTTTTCAAGACCCGGCGGTTGTTTCATATAAACTGTCTCTTCGAGATTACCATTCAAGAATGCCGTTTTAGCATCCATGTGTTCAACTAATAGTTTTTCTTTTGTGGCAACACTCAACAGTGCACGAAATGTTGCCTGACGGACAACTGAAGCGAAAATTTCGTTATAATCGGCTCCAAATTTTTGAGAGAAACCTTGAGCCACAAGCCTTGCTTTGTAGCGCTGAACACTACCGTCAACATCGGTTTTCGCTTTAAACACCCATTTACATCCGATTGCCCGTCGATCATCTGGCAAATCTGTTAGTATCAATGTGTTGTTTGCTTTGAGCGATTTCATCCCTTCATGCATTGCCGCAACCTATTGTTGCTTTTCTTTACATGAAATCGCCTCCTGATAGCTTTTGGGTTCTTCAATTTCATGAACAGCCACAAACATTTCGTCAATCAACGGTCTTGCCGGTATGCCTTTAGTTGTTCTTTTTGACACATGACGCTGATCGCTTGTTATATTTTCATTACTCGGTATTGGCTGGTTATCAGTTGGTGTTAGATATTCTTCTTCCCTTTCTACAGAAGCATTTGCTTGAACACTTCGATACTCCTCCTGAATTTTTTGCTCACCTTCTGGAATTACTTTTTCAATCTCTTCAACCTGTCGACCTTCGACTGGCAAGCCCAAAGTGATACTGATGGATTTTTCCGTTGGTACTTCAACATCCAACTGACTATTGCTAGAGTGATAATTTGTGTCAAATTTCACATCACGACTTACTAATAACCTTTTCGTGACTGGATCATAGCATCGATATCCCTTTGAAGCACTGTTGTATCCCATAAAAATCATTTTTGTTGATGTCTGGTCCAACTTTTTGCGTCTTTCGGTTGGAATATGAACAAAACATTTTGTTCCGAAAACCTTCAGGTGATTTAGCGACACCTTAGTTCCATCCCACTTATTGATTGGAATGGCATTTGTTGCACGTGTGACTGTTCTGTTCTGAATATACACTGCTGCTTCACACCAGAATGTTAGGGGTAAATTTGAATTTAATAACATACACCGCGCCATTTCTATGATTGAACGATTTTTCCGCTCAGCAACTCCGTTTTGCTGTGGTGAATATGCTGCTGTTAACTGATTTCAAATAATCAGCCAGCTGTTTGCCCGTGTACTCACCGCCTCCATCTGATCGAATAATCTTTGGCCTTTTGTTAAATTTATTTTTTACCTTTTCAACAAATTGTTTGATGCAGTCTGCAACTTCTGATTTGTGTGTAAGTAGCTGAAGAGCCGTGAACCTTGAAAAATCGTCGATAAAAGTTACCATATATCTTTTTCCGCTCGGTGTTTGCGTTTGCATTGGTCCGCAAACATCACTGTGTATTAAATCGAGTGGTTCTTTTGTTTCACTTATCGATTTCTTTGGAAATGCAGTTCTTGACTTTTTTCCCTTTGCACATACTTCACACAATTCCGATATGCCGCATTCAGCAATTTTCATATTCTCAATCAAACCATCTGCTTTCATTTTTCGAGTTGCCTCTGGATCTCGATGTCCCAAACGTTGGTGCCAATCATGAATGCAATTTTCTTTATGGCCGCTAATTGAAACGTTTATTTTATCCGTTATTCGCAGCTCATACAAATTTTGTTTGCGATCTGCCACTGCAATCTGTTTACGGTTTCGTAAATTTCGCAAGTATTTTTTTGAAATAAAACTTCAAAGCCATTGCTCGTTAACTTTCCAATCGACAACAAATTGTTAACCATATCTGGAGAGAACAATACTTCGTGAATCCTGCTTTATGAATTGTGCCGTCTTCATTAATGAAATGCACTATGCCGCTACCGATGCCGAATACTTTTACTCCATTTCCATTGCCGACTTCGATAACTCCTCTGTATGTTTCGTCTAACACGACGAAAAAACTTTTATTGTTAACTACATGTCGTGTTGCACCTGAATCT